TGCCATGATACCATGTGTTAGCTGAATCCAAGCTTCGTGAGACAACTTCGTAGAAAATGTTGAACGCAGCTACGTCAGGCCGTGCCGTACCTGGTTTAGGGTTTAGGGATTACACTCTGCTTGTAGAAGCTCGTGAACTTGTAAACTCCACTCCCTCAAGCCCTAAACTTTCCTAAACTCAAGCCCTATACAGCCCTCAGAAGCCTCAGCAAGACCCTACAACTCAGGCCGCTTGTCACCACCCTTGAAAGCGAGCCGTATAGTACCCTTGTTTCATCAGATCCCTTCAACGGGCCCCAAACCCTAAGCCCCTTAAAGGAACCTTAAGCCCTAACCCCCCATTAAGGGAAACCCTTCAAGGAACCCTTCAAGGAACCCTTCAAGGAAGCCTTAAAGGAAGCCTTAAAGGAACCCTTAACGCTTCCATGGCGCCTTCCGCTGAGGCATTGCCCACTCTTGGCAGGGCCGGCCCAAGTGACCAAAACCCCACCAACACAAGCAGAGGCTCGATCCTCCAGCTCTAAAATGGGAAGGCTGGAAATATGGAGTGCAAAGAAACCTGTAGTGTGGCTGCATCCTCGTCGGTTTGGGGTCTCAGGTACCTTGTCCTAGATCACAAAAACGCATTATTGTGAAAGAGGCTTTCGAATCTTCATCTTCAAGTCCATGGTTAGTGCTGGAGGCTTCGGGGCGGCAGTGTTCTTGAATAAGGCCATGCGTAGATACATACATACATACATACATACGTACATACATGACATGTACGTACATACATGTACATACATACATGAATAACTTGAAGATCTGCTAAGGACCCTAAGGGCAATCTAATTTAGAGCTCTCTTCATGTATACACAGATTCTTCATGTTGTGGCCCGTCCACCATGAACCGACACCGCTGCAGCGCCGACGGCAATCAATGGTTTACTTGGGGCACCGTAGTCTGCAATTCCTCTGGTCGATAGGTTGGTTATAGACTCACAGGACTGTACACATCTATCACTATTAGGGACCCATCAAGGACATAAGCATAAGCATCTTAAAGGATCAGCGCTATTTTGGGGCCCTACACTATCTGATGACTTTGGCGGATTACGGGAGGCTCTCCGTGGAGCCGGTGGGGTTTAGGGCTTACATAGTGACTCTCGATCCGGAAATACAATGCAGGGGACTTAACAAGTGGAATAGGGTTTGGGAGGCGCATTCTACTATCGTTATAACAAGGAACCCCCCAGAATAGTATAGGTAATCATTCAGGCCCCTACTCCATAGAGCCCTACTATAGATCCCTTATAGAACCTCTTTAAGGAGCCCTTTAAAGTTGGAACCCCCGAAATAGTATAGGTAACTATCAAGGCCCCTATAGTAAGACTCGTCAGTCGGTGTTAGGGTCTGGGTTTAGGGTTTATCTGTCTGGTGCGTAGTAGGGTAGCCCCTACATCATCCCCAATAATAGTCTGCATAATCCATTCCCCCATTCCCTTAAGAACCAGACAGTTATAAGGTTTAGGGTTTAGGGGGTCTGTTGTCCACGGTGAGACTTAATTATTAAATTATGGCACGCACGTCGGAAACAGGCTACGGTATGCGAAAGTGGGACCCTGGGACACGATAAACAGGAGGTTGCTCAACACAAGATAACAATAGCAGTACTACTGCTCCTGCATCGTGCATAAGACGGAACCCCGTACAACTCGCAGAGTGTAAGTGTGCGTAAGCTATTGCAGGAAGTCGTCCATCAGCCGTAGAACTTCATGAACTCGCGGGCGCGTTAGCCGTGGGATTATGAAGGAGTTGGCGCTTCTACAGTCCTTGGAGTTTCCGTGACACTGAGCCCTAACCCCTAACCCCTCAGTTGGAATTCCTTAAACACGAAACCCCAAACCCTGAAACATCCTAAAACCCTGTGATTAATCCCTAAACCCCAAACCCGACTCCCAAAACCCTGAAACCCTCCAACCGTAAACCTTGAGCACCTGGAAACCTTGAGCACCTGTAGGAATTTGGGGTATCAGGTCTAGGGTCCAACTAAGTCTTCGAGAGTCCTGGGTTTTAGGGGTTTGGGGTTTAGGGCTTTTGTTTTTCTTTTAGGGCTTTAGGGGTTTAGGGTTTAGGGCTTTAGGGGTTTAGGGGTTGGGCTATGGAGCTTAGTATGCTGCTGACACTGCAAACGAGGTTGCAAGTATGCTTAACTGACGCTGTGACCGTAGGCACGATTGAGATCGGTGCAAGCACAGAGTTGTCAATTAGCAGCTGCTGTTTTTTATCGAAGTCTTACCTGTGCATAGCGAGGATGGCATGTCCGTAGAGAGTTTCCCCCTCATGAGATCACTGAAACAACACCCAAATCACTGTTAAATCACATTGTCAAGCATGTTCGGCATCGCCACTTCTTGTTCAATCTCCGAGGGTGTACAAAGAACCCATGTGCTCAACTAGTAGACAGTTATGTTTAATGGGCACCACATAGCAAGTCCTAGACCCAAACGGTGATAGCATGTTCACTGTCTCTATCGCAATACTTCCTTGTCTCATAAGTCATAGGCCATGTATCTCTCATACGACTTTCACCGGAGGGCCTAATCCCGAAACCCTAAACCCCCCAAAACGGACCCTGATTGATCACCGTAGGTTTCGACGTTTGGATTCGGGTGCAGGGTCGCGAACTAACCCATTTCTGCCTGACATTTTACGAGGATCGAGCGGGTCTCATTGCCTTCGCTCAGCCAGCCGGAGCAAAGACATACTGTGTATGAATGTGTACTAGTATATATATATATATATATATATATATATAATATACATATATGTAAGTACACATGTTCATTTGTTATAGATCTATAGTATGCATTATGCACAACAAGATCACCAACAAGAGTTTGGGGGCTTGGAGTTCATGTGGCCTGGGGTTTGGGAGTTCAGCGGTGTAGGGTTTATCATCGGCAGGCGAGCTGCAAGCCCGTGCGCCCAACTGAGCAAAAGCTTAAAGCCCGGAGAGAACTCTTCAAGCGCGAGACGACTGACATAATTGAACACAGCCTTCCCTGGAGTTATTTGTACCACCTGGTGTGTGGTTCGAGGGGGTTTTGGTGCTTCTCCCTGACTCCACAGATCGGTCAGTCAGAGTCTTGCAACCAAAACAAACCGTAGTTGCGTTCGAAGCCTAGGAGGTGCTTTTAAAGACTTTGAAAAATATTAGTAGGTAAGATCCTCTTAAGCCCAATAAGGGAAAATATAAAATGTCCCAAAGCCCTACCTAGGAAGCCCTCAACCCAACAACAATATACCTCGTAGCTGACCCGAACGGCAACGGAAGAAATGTTTCAGCTTACGGCGCACCTGAACACTTTCTAAGTAGTTAGACAAGCTGCTCTGTGCCATGCTGTCGTCCTGAACTGTTGAGGCTCCAACCGCATGCACATCAATCAATGCATGGCCCAAACCTAAAAATGCCTTAACGAAATTGAACCACAAACCAGAGACTAAACCCGAACCGCTGAACCCCAAAGAGAACAAGACCCCCGAAACACCTGGGCCTCAGCGTTAAGGATTCAGGGCTTAGGGTTTAGGTCTCAGGGTTTCGGGCTTTAGGGTTTAGGGGTGTAGGGTTTAGGGCTCCCCCGACAGATGAGAACCAACACCTGATGTTGCTGCGGCTGTGAGACCTGAAGCGGATTGGATTGGCCCAAACGTGTATCTCAGTTGAACGCTGAGAGGCTGCCCTCTTTACTTTGAGACCCCTGCGCATCGTTTTCTGAAATAAACACCCTATTGCTGTTGTACTCTGGCGAATCCTTTGTAGCTCTCCATGCGAAGCAGCCGGAGAGTAGAAGTTTGCACGGATGAAACCAGGCTCTGGTCACGCATTCGATATAAGGACCTGCGCTCATCGGACTGTGCAACACCCTAGTTACCCAGTAGTTTCGGACTGAGCGCATCTTTCCATGCAAGGAACCACTCAGAGGCGAAGAGCGTGAATCGCCTCCCGAGGACCTGGTGAGATGAGGTCCCGACCTTCACTTTCCCGCATGTTGGATGGGGCTCTTTCGGCTCGGTCTTCATAATATAGGTACAGTACCTTGGTTTCGGGGCCCACTATATAAGGGCAGTGGCAGTGCCAGTCCTAGTTGCACTTGCAGTCGCAGTGGCAGTGGAAGGCAGTAGCAGTAGCAGTCGCAGTGGCACTGGCAGGAGCAGCAGTAGCAGCAGCAGTAATTAGCAGCAGCAGCAGCAGTAGCAGCAGCACCAGCAGCGGCAGCAGCAGCAGCAGTTGCTGTTGTTGCTGTCGCTGTCGTTGCTGTTGATGCTATTCTTGCTGTTGTTGTTGTTGTTGTTGTTGTTGTTGTTGCCGTTGCCGTTGCCGTTGCCGTTGCCGTTGCCGTTGTTGTTGCTGTTGTTTTTGTTGTTGTTGTTGTTGTGGTTGCTGCTGCGGTGTTTGTTGTTGGTGGTGGTGCTGGTGGTGCTGCTGGTGCTGGTGGTGGTGCTGGTGGTGCTGCTGCTGCTGGTGCTGCCGCTGCTGCTGCCGCTATTGGTGGTGGTGGTGGTGGTGGTGGTGGTGGTGGTGGTGGTGGTGGTGGTGGTGGTGGTGGTGGTGGTGGTGGTGGTGGTGGTGGTGTTGCTGGTGCTGCTATCTGCTGCTCGTGCTGCCGCCGCTGCTGCTGCTGGTGGCGGCGGCGGCGGCGGCGGCGGTGGCGGTGGCGGTGGCGGTGGCGGTGGCGGTGGCGGCGGTGGCGGTGGCGGTGGCGGTGGTGGTGGCGGTGGTGGTGGTGGCGGTGGTGGCGCTGGCGTCGATGGTTGCGGTTGTCGTCGTAACGTTCGTACTAGTGGCAATCGCAGCAGGAGGATTGAGTGTATAGGCATGAGGAGGAGGCCAATAAAGACACCGCTGACTGAATTCCATGATTCGCATAGCTTCGAGTACGCAAGGTAATGCCGGATCTTCCATGTATACACACCCTAAACACTCAACTATACTCCCTACTGGACAGGCCTCGGAAGGATCAGCGACATATGCCACCCCAGCAGCCTCGTGAGCAATGCTTTCGCGTTGAGGAATTGCTGGTTGACTCTATAGGGTTCAGGATTGAGGATTCTGGTGTTGAGGGTTAAAGCTTGTCCCCCCAAACAGAAACAGCATGGCAACACTGTGGGGTTCTTACATTCAAAACAAACGAGAAGTAGTGATTCGGGTCCTCATGCGGACGGAGTGGAGTGGGACAGAGGCTGCATCCAAGGCCTAGGGAGCATAGGACCCTAAAGAACCTATACCTTTTCAGGGTTCCTTATTATGACTTCCTGAAACAAGTCCTTAACAAATGTAGGGTTAAAAGAGCTTAAGCATGCGTTTAAACATGGCATTGAGAAGTGTGGCAGTTGGCACAAGTGTTTTGAAACATGTTTAACGCCTTTGCTTGACATGTTTACACCGGGGTTAAAACGTCTCATTGCGACGACACTGTTTAGGCAAGTAAACAAGCATCCACCCAAGGGCCAAACATGCTTACACTTGTAAGTTTAAAGCGTTTAAACCAAACGTTGCTGGGTTGCCACACGTGAATGCCCAGCCCAAGCAGAAACTTGAGAGATTACACTGCGGCTTCGTGACGTACGCTGTGCCTCTAGAGGGGCCTCGGTGATTTCAAAACTCCTAAACCGCAGAACCTAAATCGTACTCACAACCCAAGGATCAGCCCCTATTCCTTCGTAGAAACCACAAAGCTAAAGCATACAGCGCACCCTTAACCACGATCGAGCCCCGGAAAACTTGAAGCCAAGGAGTCTCCCTATTCCAGTTATCGGGCTTAGGGCTTAGGGCTTAGGGTTTAGGGTTTACCAGGTTAGGGTTTAGGGTTTAGGGTTTAGGGTTTAGGGTTTCCCTTCTTGTACCCTCAACACAGTGGTACATGGTCCCTAGTGGCAGTTAGTTGGGGACTAACTGTGGGTAGAACGAGGGTCTACGTTGGTGTTTCCACGTTTTCGGTAGAGTTTCGTGTGCCGGGCTTTCGGATTCAGAGCAGGGAAATGAACTCTCAATGACGACGGGATACGAAAACGGTAGAGGAATTCCAGTCATCACTTAGGACTTAGACTTTCAATATGGGTGGTTGTCAAGATTAGGGTCCCTTTTCGTCCCAACTTTTTATTACGGCACCTTTTTTTCGGGTGCCCAAAAAGGGACTCTTCGCTACAAGTCCTGGACTCTCAGACTCCACGGATGGAAGGGATACGGGAGTTTCCGAAAATTAAGGGTGCCTTATTTGGTGGTCCTTTTTATAAGGATCCTACTATTTATTATGGTATTAGGATCCCTTATTTTCGGAAACTTCCGGAGCCGCGCCAGGCTGAGATGTCTTTTGCCTCTCCGTTGTGCTTGCTACTGTCAGCAATGTCAGGTTGTGTAATATAGGGGCGTAATAATGAAAATAGTTTTGGGGAGATTATACTATAACGATAATAAGGAACCCCCAAAATAGTATTCGTAAGTATTTAGGCCCCTATAGGATCAGCCTACAAGCTGGCAGCCAGTATCACCCTTCACGACCTAGAGGATCATGGGACTTAGTAAGTAGGTTATAATTGGGGTTATAAGTCCCCTAAGTGGGGTTATCCTAATTATAACCTACTTATAACCTTACTTACTAAGTCCCATGAGCCTTCAAGGAGCCTGCTGTTCAGCTCACTGAAGGACACATTGGCAACCCTCCTTCTTCGGCTGGCAGTACTTCGCGAGGTAGTCAGAAATACTGACTTCCTGGCCAGTCTTCCTGGGCTTTTAAGTAACCAGTGAGAAAAAAGTATATTTTTTTTTCATAAGGGTTCCTTTAAGAAAAAGATATTAAAGTATTGTACTTCAAAGCCAATCTTCTTGTCCTTGACCGTGACGGTGGTGGTCGGGGGTCTCACTGCAATCTCCTGCATCTTCTTGCTTGAGTTTAGGGTCTAAGTCTTGGTCCAACTATCTGGATCTTGGAACCTAGGGTTTGACTACTTGCGACGGTTGAAGCTCGGTTTAAGATTTACAGGGTTTAACTGTTTATTCTAATGATTCGTATGATCAGTGAGAGACTGGCGATCTCCTGCATCTTCTTCGTATGCACATCATCGAAGTCCGAAGTGAACTGGAGCTCTGGGACGGTCAGCTTCCTGAGGTTGGGAAGTACCACGCCCAGGTGGAGAGTACCGGAGTACGAGTTTCCCTCGACGTTCAGTTCCTCTAGGGGAGACATGAACTTCTCAAGCGTCGCGCTGCCATCAAACTTGTTGTGGGATAGGTCAATAGTTTCCAGGAAATAGAAGCGGCGCCAGTTGATGCTTTCGTCCAGTGGGTTACCCGTGAGTCCATTCCTGCTCAGGCACAATGTGCGTAGGGGGGTGGGTAGGTAGTTGATAGTGCGTGAAGTGATCTCCCCGTGCGTACTCGCAAGGGGGCTTCCTTTGCACACGAGGTACTCCATACCACGAGGAAGATGATCGAACGTGATAAAGCCAGAGAGACTGTGGTCTTCGAGTGTAAAGGTCTTAAGGTTGTTGAGAGCGAAGAGCCCATGCAGCTGGATCTTGCCTGTAAGATTCTGCGGGAAGACAATGCTCTGAACACGACCGGTACCGTCCAGCTTTACGCCATTCCACTCTGCCAGAGGCCGATCCACCCAGCTAGGATCCTTGTTGGTGACCTCCGAAACGACCAGCTCGAGCGCCGACTGCTCCACTAGGTCTGCCTGCCTCAGCGTTTGAAGATCCTCAAGGATCTTCGTCTTGCGCTCTTCGGCAGAAGGTTCGGCCATCTTTGATCTCTCTCTTGCGTGAGACTTGCGATTGCAATTGAGGGCATGCGAGCTGCGCTCGAAAGAACAGTGGGCTACTTCGGACTTTGCGAGAAAATGAAGACTAAGACCAAGGAGTTGCGATGTCATAAAGATAGCTTGAGCAGCTACAGGCCTTCAGACAGAACAACAGCTAAGATACTTTCGGACGGCTTTGGCTTGGTTGTTAAGCTCGCACTTGCGGAGTCTTGCACTGGCTCCGATGATGGAGCGGACCTTGCGAGATGCGGGAATGCAGCCCGAATGCTGGGACGGTACTGATCCCATGCACTCATGAGAGCCCTGCCGTGCCTGAACCGCCAGTTCCTGCGCAGCATGCCTGACAGTGGCAGAAACTTCTCAGCAGAGTCTACTACACATATTTCAGCTTCTCCCACAAGACAGAGAGCTTGGCAAAGAAAAAACTGATCCGCACAACTGTACTCACAATTCAATTTTTGCCACCGTGCCGTCGACACTTACTCGTCTGAACTTGGCCCTGCACTCGACACCCCTGACCCATCCACATCTGTCAGGAATGCCTCCGAAATACAAGTGAAGGAGAGCGTCCCTGGGGTACAATAACAATCTTGCTGCGGGGCCTGCAAAATTACAACTAAAAACAGGTTTGGTCGGTATGCTGCAGTAAAACTACTATGGTAGTGCTGGGGGATTCAAAATCAATGCGAGGACATTACGTCTACGCACCCCCGGATCGCAAGAGTTTGCAGATGGCCTGCCGCGACTGTTGCAGTCTTATGCAAGGATTCATGTGGCCTCGGGTTCTTATCGAAGGATATCCCAGGCTGAACACTGGCTTTGCAGAAGCCCGGACAATGACAGTCACGTTCAACTGCAACATCGAAACGAAGTAAGTTACAGCAGCAGCTCAGCTGGCAACATATCCCGGAATTGGGACATGACTGTATTTGCGGAGTGCCTGGTATGCCACTGCATAGCCTTTTCTAAAGTACATCCACTCACTACTCTCCAAGATTGTGAGGGTAGTGTCCTAAATCCCCCACATAAGCAAAACAACGGCGCAAAGGCCGGACAAGCCTAGAAAGTCGACCTTTTGTGCTGTTGGTTACACCACGATAGGACAAGAACTGGTGCTGCTACTGCTACCACTACCACACTACTACCACTACTACTACTACTACTACTACTACTACTACTACTACTACTACTACTACTACTACTACTACTACTACTACTACTACTACTACTGCTACGATTACTCCTCCTCCTTTTCCTGATGCTACTGCTGCAACTACTGCTACGACGACTGTGACGGCGAGGACGACCGCACGAACTTTCTCGCTGCCACCGTCGCAAGGTTCTGATAAGGGATACTATAAGTGTACTATAAGGCTTGAGAGTAGGGGCCTTAATGATTTAAATAGGGGGCTTCGGACACACACTTCGTAGCATGTGAGTTTCATGTTTGCAGAAACTCGAACCCCTGCTAACCCCCAGAGAGCTCGATGCCTCTTGGTTCAAGAGAAACTGCAGGCGCTGGTCGAGCAAACCTGGCTGAATCATTACAGTATGGGTTGGGCTTCAGATTGCCACTTTAGGGTTTATTGTGCACCTCAAACCATACAGTAGAAGCCAGAAAGTTGGAATATCATTATCGTAACCCCTTTAATGTAAATTATAGGGGATCCTACCATTAATCCATATTCCAACTTTCTGGAGTTCCCTTTAGAACTCTGGATGAAGGAGGCTCAGAGGATCCAGGTTTCACGATATGGGAGTTTCGGAAAAGTAGGGGTACCTGACTTTGGGGTCCTTTATTAAGGATCCTACGATTTAGGGTACTATATTAGGTTCCCCTATTTTCGGTAACTCCCATATAGGCTACAGGGATCACGCAGATTTGTCGTTTGTTATGTGCATTCCGCTTCGTTGTGCTATCATACTCGAAACTTGGTGCCTCTACATGCTAATCATAGCCGCCTTGCGTTGCAAGTATGCTGTCATACGCTGCGCATGTGCCCACTGATTGCGACGGCTGCATAAATAAATAAATATATATATATATATATATACATGTACACATCTATCTATCTTTCTATATTTCTATCCTATGTAATATGTAAAAGGAAATATCTAATATCTAACATGTACATGAATTCGTATGTACGTGTGCAGGTATGCGCGCATATACGTATGTACGTCTGTATATGTGTACGCATATGTAGATGTAGATCTATGTTCACATATACACATATGTAAATAAGCATCTGTATGTGTATAAACATATATGGAAGTGCAATATCAGTAATATACCATAGTACACTACTAAACAGTAGGATCCTTATTATAAAGACCCCAGAGTCGGGGCATATCAACGAAGCGTCTTCTGCTTCGACTCAAGCTTGGGGAACTGAAACGTCGAATAACGCCGGGGCCGTAGTACCTAGAATAGGGCTCCTTTAAAAGGTTCCTATAAGGGATACTATAAGGGTACTATAGGGCTTGAGAGTAGAGGCCTTAATGATTAGAATAGGGTTTGGGTTTACGGTACTGTAACAGCATATTCGGAACTCTCAAGCAGGCCCCCATATTACGGTTACGAAAACCGGTGTCTACAGCAACAGCGGCAGGAACCACACGATCGGTTTGAAGTCTACCAGTAAGCTCTAGAACCCCAAACTCAATACAACGTCGAAAGGGTTGCTGTCTGTCTCCTTCGCAGCTGCGATGTCTAGGAGCACCTTCGGCATGGACCAATGGAGTCCAAACTCAGGATTCAAATCTTACAAATTCGTGTCCTGGTATCTGGGGCTATGGGTTTGATCTTTAGGAATTCGGAGTTGTAGTTTCACATGTGGAGCAGCTTCCACCGGGTAGCCGAATGCTCAACCCTAAAACCCGGGCCGCTAACTCCTGCAGGTTTTGGGAAACATACACTGCCGCCTGGCGGAGAGTCAAGATCAGGGCCTCTGTGCAAAAAGAGGAAGACTGTACTCCAAGGACCAAACATGGACCAAAACAACTTGTGGAACATGGGTCCTTTTCCTTGAGAAAAGCCTCTAACATGAAATTGTAGCACAGAAGTTCGCGAACCTACGCAGCTTTGGGCAGAACGAGTGCCTTGCGCGCGACCAAGCCGTCTTTCACAAGAACTCCTCAGCATCACAATACTCAATTTTTACATAGGTTTTAGGGTTCAGCGAACGGGTTTCCGGTCGGTTCAGCGAATGGTTCAGGATTCAGATTTAGAAGTCCTGCTAAACCCTAAACCTATATAATGTGGAGCACCCGGGGTCCAGAGTTCAGAGATCCCTGAACTAGAACCTTCAAACCCCTGAACCCCAATAGCCTACACTCCGTTACCGGTGTCGGGGCGATTCTGGGTCTTTGGGCTTGGGGTTTAGGGTTTGGGGCTTCGGGGTTTAGGGTGTAGGGTTTTAGGGTTGAGGGTTCCATTTCAAGCGCGAGTTGAATAAGAGCTCAAGTACCTAAAACCTTACTCCTTCAGCGCCCAATCAGCCTTTTACACCTCGTGGGGCTCAATGCCTCTATGTTTTCTACGAAATAAATGTAATCATATGCTCTCCGGGCTTCTTAGATCCGCAGGGAACGGACCACGATCGGGAGCCACCCTGATAAATCGAAACTCTACACCCTAGGAGGAAGCTTGCAGGTAGATGATGGTAGATGTATCATAACAGAAGCTAAGCAAAGTGGCATAATAATCGAGAGCTCAAGCATCATGATTATGACTACCACTCTCCCCTCTCAAATAGCAGTATTTCTAGGATCCCTGTGGTATGGTCGTGGTTTCAACCTACAGGACCCTTGTAGAAACCGCTAAAGGCCCTGAAAGGAATCCTTGGAGGAAGCCAGTCTACGCTCACTCAAGTCCTAAGTTGGGTCCTGGCCGGTAGTTCTTGCGTCAAGGACTCAAAAAAAGCACAACGATCAGCATAGTATACCATAGTATACCACACCGTGTTCGAGTACTTACATCGCAAAAGCAGGAAACGCTATGTCATACTGCATTATACTATGTGATACTATGGTATACTATATCATACCATATCATACTACATCAAGCTATGTTCTATTCTGTTCTGTTCCACTGCCGTATAATGATTGTGCTAAAGGCCAAGGTGCGCATCTGCTGCTGGATGGCAGTTGCCAGGCCGGAGAGGAGTTTGCCCTCACAGGCGGGGGCACTAAACTCCAGGGTTTAGCCTTACAAGTAGGCGGGGGGTTGTAGGAACTAATTAGGGGGTTAAGGGTTCAGGGTTTAGGCGGTGTGTAGGAATGAGTTTAGGGGTTAGGGGGTGTATAGGATTCAATTAGGGGGTTTAAGGCTTAGGAAGTTTAGGGGATACAGCAACCCTAGCAGCACACAGCCCTCCCTAGAGGTCCAAGTGCTGCTCATTATTATGAAACTTTAGGTCCCTTGCCAAAGACCTCAAATCAGGACGACTTGGAACTTTAAACACGACAGAATCCTGATTTAAACCCTACACAAACCCTAAACCCCTGAGTGAATGCTGAACCCTAAACAAGCATATTGAAAATAGTCGAAGCTTTGACGAACACACATCGAGCCCGCCGATCAAGGTCGATGGCACCTGTACCCTCCCTTGGCATGAAGCTTCGGCCATTATTCACAGTTTTCAATGAGAGTTTAGAGACCCAGTGTCTTGGGGATTTGATATTTGAGAAGCGTTCGGGGTGCAGGCAAGGCTGAAGCATGTACTAATTCGATTTATCATGTCTCCAGCAGCAAGGGTAGCCGATGACAAAGTACCACGTACCAAAGCCCTAAGACTGGAGCCCTTGATGCCTGAAGTCTTGCGATGGTCTCGGGCAGGGCAACCGGCTCTGGAGCTTAACTTCTCCACCTTCAGCCCCGAAGTCCTTAACCTCAAACCCTAAGCCCGAAGCATTGATATGAGGCTTACCCTGAACCCCCAGTTCCAACACCCCACACCTCAACCAAATACTCTTATTCGAGACCCTCGTCAGCTTAGATAACACCCCAAGCCCTCGCCCAATACAGGAGTCTCAACAAGAAGACTAGGATTTGGGATGTTTTGAGAAATATTTATATAGTAGTGTAATTGAATTTTTCCGGGCCCAATTTTGAGCCCTATAAAACCCCAATGCTGCAGCCCGGTTTTAATAGTTCAGGCAGTACAGACCCCAGTATTCAACCCCTTTAAGGGGACCTTTACGGGATCCCTTAAGGGGCCGGCCAGCCTGCCGTCCAGGTCCATCTGCTTGCTGCAGGACGGAGGCGAGGAAGTCCTGCCGAGATTGGGGCTGTAGGGTTTAGGACTCAGCGAGTCTAAAGTCTAGGGCTTTGGATTTGGGATTGTTTGTTTCAGAGTTTGGATATTAGTGTTTTGTGGTTCTTAAGGTTTCAAAGTTAAAGCTGTGGGTTTTCAAGGTCAGGGGTACGCGAGCTCGGTGGTGTCGAGCTACCCTCGCCACCGAAGCTTGGGGTCCAGATCAGCCCCAAACCTCACAACCCGAAATCCCGAAGCATCCCAAGCCCCTGAACCTGAACCCTATGATGTAGGAACCAGAATGATTAAGAAACCTTGGGCCTTTATCGGGATTCCGTATATGAATCCTGCTATTTTGGGGGGTTATAGGCCCAGGGTTTCTTGATCAGGTTCCGAACTCTCTCAACACAGAGCTAGAGCGCCCAAAGTCCATAAGCCTATACAACAACCCTCACGGCCCTAAGCAGGGAAGGTTTGGATGGTCCAGCGTCAGCTCCCGGCGCATCTCTGTCGTCACGCACTCCTCTTTGCCTTGATGTGAGCTGACCGGGGTGTCATGAGGTTTAGGGTTTAGGGTTTCAGGTTTAGGGTTTACGGTTGCTAAGCTACAGGGATAGGTGCTAGGTGCTGCGGACACGAGCATGCTCTCTGACTCTAGCAGCAGCCAGCAGCGGCTACATACCACATGGCATGTTGCGTACATTCTACTGTATAATGCATACCAAATAACTACACTACATGCTAGATGCGATCTGATGTAGGCTCCTACATACCTCCTACCTACCTGCCTACACACACATACACATCCATCCATCCATCCATCCATCCCTCCATCCATCCATCCCTCCATCCCTCCATCCCTCCATGCCTACCTACCTGCCTACCCACATACGTAAATACATTGACACGGCCGGAGAAATTTGCTTACACAGTTTTAAACGGCCTGTCTGCCCATCTACCTATTTAACGGTCGATCGACCTATCTATAACACAGATCTTTGTGGGAGTTCGTCTGTATACGTACGCACAGGTCTTTTACGATGTGCATATAGCATGATAAGACACAATTGGCCCATAAGAAACATCGGCTCTGTGTTTGCATAGTGTCCCATGGATTTCATGCTACGGGAGGCAATGAAGTCTGCGATGTTGTATGCACCAAACATGACTAAAATCGTACATGATCGTTAAACCCTTAAACCTAGAGCAGCCGCAAAGCCTGAATGCCAGACCAAAGCCTACTTAGTTAGTTTGTTCGATGATTCCACCACAGCGTTTCACCGTCCGGTCCTGTTCTGTCGTACGTTGCATCGCGAACCAAGTGAACAACACATCGGGAAGCCCCTGTTTTTATGTGCATTCTCTTGGATACCACTATAACCCCAGTAGGTTCCTTAACTCTAAACCTGCAACCTCATAGTTCGACAAGTGGACTCCGTAGTGCGCAATTCAAGTCCCCATACCGGGATCTTTCAAGTCCTACAGCTTAGGGTCTAGGGCTTAACCATTAAGAACTTAAGGTTTAGGGTTTAGGGCTTATAGGCTTATAGAGTTAAGGGTTCAGGGTTAATGGGGCGTTTTGAGGGTTTGGAGTTTAGAGTTTTGGGTTTAGGGTTGTGCATTTTCACAGATATGACTGATGACAGTTTAGGTGCTCTAACCCGCTGCCCTTAACACTACCCTGATGGATCCCTTGGGTCAGGATCTATTCAAATCTGTAGAGCTTAGGGCTAGCGAACCCTTCCTTAACCCTGAATAAAACCTACCTTTTTAGGGTTCCTTATTATGATGTCCTTATATAGGTCCGTAGGTCCTTCAGGGTTAAGGTTGGTCTTATCCCCACAATGACGTGCAAAGCTTGAGGTGAGAAGCTCTCCAATGCGGTTTCCAGGACCACCATGACCTCTCGGCATGTTCCCAGAGAGCCGGCCCAATATCCCTGAATTGAGGAATATAGCTTAAATCATAATATGAAGCACCAAGTGATTTAAGGTATACTCCTTAATTAAGGGGTATTGGGCTCTCTGGGTTGGGGATTAGGGTTTAGGGTTTCTGAGTTTTGGCTTCTGTGGTTTGGGGTTTTGAGGATGCTTAGTAAGTGTCCATGTTGTACAGCCGGGCAAAACACGGCCTGGGAATTTTGTGGTTACGGCTTTGCGGATTTAGGGTCTGTGCCTTTGGCTCGTATTCTTCAAAGCTGCACCAAATGTAACCCAGAGGAGGACGGTTTAGGGTTTAAGGGTTAAGGATTTAATTTAAGGGTTTAAGGGTTAAGGGGTTTAGGGTTCAGGGAGCAAGGGTTTAGGGTTTAGGGTTTCGCCACGATTGAATGCAAACCGAAGGTCATGTAGGGGACATGCTGCAAACATGTCGAGGCCCCAATAATTTCCGTAGGTATGTGAGGTTATACTTGTACTTATGCTTGTACAGGCACTGTACTGGAGAGTATCGCTAATTGTGTTATACCGACGGCCGTCTTACGGTCAGATTGGAGATTCAAGGCTGGAGTGTTCTACTCGTGGTAAAGCCCATGTGACACGACACGTACTTGCAAGGAGCAGCATGTGTAGAAGAACGATACATATATATATATATATACACATATATATAATACATATCGAGCAATGGGATTCAAGGCAAAGATTGAAAGGCTTCGCAGGGGCTTTGGAAGCGTGGCATTAAGGGTGCTAGGGCTGAGGTTTGGGGGGTTTCGAGCTGTGGCTTGTGTAGAATTCTGGGTCGAGGGGGATTATTCGGGTTTAGGATTGCTACACGTAAGTCGAGCTTGGGATCAGCTAGTGTATATCTTACCCTCGGACTTCTGAGTAGTGCAACGGGTTGAGACGACGCCTCCTCTTCCAGCATGCCAGACTTCGCGTAGTCCCAAACCCTGAGGGGCGTGCAACGGTATGCTCAGCGTGAAGAGGACCCATTAGGTAGATCACATCTCCTGACAAATCCAAGGGTAAAAGGACCCTTAATATAGCCCTTATATACCCACTATATAGCCCACTATAGGTAGGGGTCCCCACTAAGGGTCCCTCCTTTTCCCTTTTGAGACCAAGATCTTGGGAACTGGGGCTCGAAAGGAAGTGTAGAGCCCAATACCGGGTTGGCTTAAATTGGGACCCCTGTTCTGGCTTGGAGTCTTGGAGTTTCATGTCCTGCTTCGTAGAGAGCCAGAAGCAGTAGGAAAGAATGCCAAAAGAACTCAAGTACGATTAGCTCACCCTGCTGGGATCCTGAGTGCACACTTGTTGGGGTGCCGGGAAAGTTTGCTGAGGCATCTGGTCAGCTGGTGGGGAGAGTCTTGCGCAGGATGCACTGCACTGCTGCCACAAAGAAAGACTAAGACTTTCCAGAGGAACCAAAATTGGCATCTTGGCTGCTGTCGGGTTCAGCGCTTAGGCCAGAGTGGAATCTGAGAGCACATGTGTCGGATTGAGGGCTTGGCCGCCACTGCAGCCGTCTAGTTCGCTTTTACTTGAACACTCGGGGGTTGCTAATATTAATTAATAAGGTAGTCCAAAGCCCTTTAAGCCAAAACGCATAATTCCGAAAGCCCGAATCCTCAACCTTGAGGTGTTAAACTTCGCACCACACGTAGGAAAACCTCAAGTCTGTGCATCAAAGGCCGAAATTTAGAAACACGATGTCTGGGCAAATGTCTTCTCCATTATCTCGCTGAAGAGAGCTGCCAGGACCTCAATGGCGAGGCTTCAGGTGTTTTGAGATCTTAAATGCAGGCCTGAAGATAAAGGAAACTCAGGATGGACAGGAGACTGCGTTCAAGCTATCGGAACTATGTTAGACTTTAGGTCCTAATATATCTATGTTTTGAATATGATTCAACTACTACTGAGTCAGGGCCGTACCCAAGTTAGACTTGAGGTTTCGGGGCTTCGGATGTTGGGTGTCTCGTTGTGGGGCATTCGCGTCAAGGCCTTTAAGGGTTTCTCAAGGGTTCTTTACGAGTTCATTAAGTGTGGCACCGTGAACCACGGGAACTCCAGCAAACTGTTGGGTACGGATAATGATGGCACTTGTCCACCAGCCATCTGAAAGAGAAAGAAAGGTACTTATAGGGCTAAAGACTTTACAGTAGAAGCCAGAAAGTTGGAATATCATTATCGTAACCCTTTTAAGGTAAATTATAGGGGATCCTACCATTAATCCATATTCCAACTTTCTGGAGTTCCCTTTAGGGCTAAAGATTTTAGAGCATCAAGGTCTAGATACCACCACAATGTGCCCGGACCAGGACCGACCTCTGGCAAGCGGACTTTGCCACAAACTTCAGGAATTCCCAGAAAGTCTCTATGTAGGTTACCTCGTGTCAACTGGATATATGGGAGTTTCCGAAAATAGGGGACCCTAATATAGTACCCTATATGGTAGGATCCTCATTTTCGGAAACTCCCATGTGTGAAGCGAATCCTTTCCTGGCCGGAAAGCGGCCCATCTGTCAGTTCAAGTTGAGAGAGTTTCGTGGGTCTGCAGTTGGGGACTTCGTGATTTTGGCATGTGATGCAGCCTGCTTCTTTACAAGTATCAGGTTGATGAAATCCTCATGTGAACCTGCTGTATGTGAGTTTGGGATGTAGGGCCGGTCTTTCGATGGCAATATAGGGGCATTTCATTATCATTACCAATATGTTGGGGGTTCCTGTTTATACTTATAGAATAATGGGCCCCAAAACCCTATTCTAATTATTAAGGCCCCTATAATAGGGGTTGCAGAACTTTGAGGCTCGCGGCATAGTGTCTAAACTGAAGAACCTACTTGGAGGTTTCCGAAAGTAGGGGACCCTGATACAGCATCCTAAATACTAGGACTAGGATCCGTATTATAAGGACCCCAAATAAGAAGGTTCCCCGAATTTCGGAAACTCCCGCAAGTTGTAGGACTTTGCAAAGCCATCGCCAGCGCCCGTAATCCCGATAGCTCCGAAGCCGGAAGACAAGAAGCCAAAAGCTCTTAAACAGAAAGCCCAAAGCTCTTAAACTGCAAGTTCTCCAGCTTGTTGCCCTAATTACCTAGATCCTCAAAAGTAGGTAAAATAATGGCCCAAATTCTACAGAGTTTTGGGGGTCCAGGTACACCCTAAACCCTAATCTCTAAACCCTCATCCCCAGACTCTAAACCCTAATCTCTAACCTTCATTCCCAAACCGTAAGTAAAGTCAACCACCCCAGACCCTAAAACCTAAACCCTTCTTCATTCCCAAACCCTAAACCACCCTAACCCCTAAACCTAAACCCTAAACCCTAAAAACTGCCATCATCCAAGCTGGCCGCTTTTTCCGAAGCGTCTTTTTCGGCCACAGCATGCAGAAGGGCCTGAGCCACAGACGGTACAGTATCGTATCGGGTTTAGGCTTTAAGGTTTGGGGTTTAGGGTTTGAAGTTTGGGGTTTAGGGCGTGGCGAAGTGATTTTTTTCTCGCGGAGAGGTTTTGGAGGGCATGAAGTGACAATGTTGGTGTCAGGCCGTCTCTTAGTATCAGGTCGTCGCAAGGTTGCGTGGCATAGGTTTTGGTGAGAGTGGACGGTCCTTGCGATTTCGTGATGGTGCTTCCGATCTCTTAAGAAGGACTTTTAGACGGGTTTCCAACAAGGCTTGCTCAAGGGTTTGTAGCAGGGCTTTATAGAAGAGATTTGAAGAGGGGTTTATAGAACGGGTTGGCAAGGGTTTACAGAACGGTTTACAGGAGTTCTGGAATGATGCACGGCTGGTAGATGAATGCATGGATCGATGAATCCCTGCAAGGGAGGGATGGATGGATGGATGGATGGATGGTGGAAGATTGAACGCATACAAATAAGGAAAGATGGATGACTGGCTGGATGGATAGACTGATTGATGAATGAATGGCTGGCTGGCCGGATGGCTGGCCGCATGGGTGAATGAATGGACAATATAGGGACCCTACTGATTAGAATAGGGTTATGGAGGTCCACTACACTATAGCTATATTAAGGATACCCGAAAATAGTATAGGCAATTATTTAGGCCGCTATTTTGAATGGATGGATGAGATCACATTCGGTGTTGTCTCCCTGCTCCGAAGGCTTTCGGGGCACTCGCTCTCTTGCAACATTACATGTCGCACTTTCGGAGAGTCGGGTTCCCAGGCCGTTTAGGGTTCGGAGTCGATTTCTGCCAGCTCCCTGGGCAAAAGCTTCACAACATCCAGCAACCCTGCAACGAGCTTACCAAATAAAGCTTGATCCGCACCCTACTTGAAATCCTCTCTGGTAGCCGAGCACATCAAGGCCTTTGCGGGTTTAGGGTGCAGGGTTTTAACAAACTCTCAGCCTTACCTGCCTGCCTGACCCGAATGAATGTGCCTCTACATCCAACTCCCACAACCAATGCCTTGGCTTTCAAACTCCTAACTCCTAACCCTAAGCAAACCCAAACCCGAGATCTTGAGAATCCGAACATGTGCGGAGCGCAAATACGCCATACAGACACACCCGACTGCTGGAAGGCCTTCGCAAAAAGCGCTGACGAAAAGCCACACCGAAAGTCGAGAGCCCTGAATCAGCCTGAATCCTACTTGGAGGTTCAGCGGTAGTAAAAAACTGGTCATGAGTAGGGTAACTATACTTACAAGCCATGTTAGCGGACTTATAACCCTACGTATAACTACCCATGAACCTCTAAGTGCCCTGCCCTAAGCTCGAAACCCATAGTTGGACCGTAACCCCTCGTTCACTTCGCTCTTGGGCTCCGGCTGAGTCCAACATGCCGCGTAAGATCTCAGACTTGGCTTCTACGACTGCCTTCGGCTGTGTACATGGGTGGTTGTCAAAATTATGGTCCCTTCTTGGGTACCCTAAATATTAGGTGCCGTACTATAGTAAGGACCCAAAACGGAACCCTAATTTTGACAACCACCCACATGTATGATATTTATTCGCAGCATGTCTATCGTAGTTTCGATCTGACGAGTACGACGGGTATCCCACTGTCTGAACCCGGGTAGTCTTCTTGCTGGTGCTCGTGCTGACGACGGGCGAGTCGGCTTAACATGACTGCGCTCACCGCGTCGTCATCGGTATGTTCGTCATGTTACATGTATATGTACGTGAATAACGTGTATAGTGCATGTAGTATAGTAAACCCCAAAAAGTTCGAAACCGGATTAAGGACAATTAGTGCTGGGATTCCCTATACATTACTCTTAAAATTTGAGGCCATCGGGTTTTCAACTTTTGGGCTTCTACTGTATGCATCATGCTTAGCTTTACTGCTGCCGTTTAAAGTCGAAAGACCTCCTTCGAGAAGTCAGGTGCTGCCGTTACAGCCAACACTGGTCGTAAGATCACCATGACAATCTTGGGGCCTTAATGATTGGAATCGGGTTCCTTTCATGGGTTCCTCAAAGGGTTCTTTCGGGGCTATTCTAAGGATGCAAGAATCAGAAAGGACCAGAAACGGTACAAGAAAAGACATGACCAAACGCCAAGACGCATGCTGAAGGTCCAGAAACCTATCCCAAAACCCTATTCTAATTATTAAGGCTCCCATACTATAAGGGTACTATATGATAGTACCCTTGATTTATAGATGGTAAGCTGAGAACCCTGAAGCTTCGAAATCGAGACTGGGCTGAGGGCACACAAAAAGCTTGGTTGACCCAGAATAGAATACAATATAGTATAATATAAGGTAAGACAAAAAGGATCATCATATAGATATAGGATACAATACAAAACAATCCTAAAATATCATACATATACTATATACATATACTTTATACATATATATATATATATATACACATAGATCTATATATATATATATATATATACATATATATATATATATATATATATGTATATATATATATATATATATATGTACATGCATCAGCAGCCTCTATTGAACTCTCGGCTTTATGGGACACACGACTGGCTGCCTTGGCAGAGACCAGAGTTTCCTCGTGGTTGTTCAGCCTCTGCCTCAGTCTGGGAGTTTCCAAAAACAGGGGACCCTAACATGGTACCCTAAATAGTAGGCCTCTGCCTCAGTCAGCCGGTGAAAACCCCGACACCTTCTGGCGAAAGGCCGTGGATCTTGAACCATATTTTCAAGCTTCGAAGGCCTTGCCTAAAACCCTAAATCCTATAGCACTTTGGCTTCGGTTTGGGAGCGATCTTGCCCTGCGGCATCTCCTGTCTCACACTACGATGCCCTTACCCATAGGCCCCAAAGTAGTTCTTTTTTGGGGGTTCATTTTTCGAATCCTACATGGTATTCTCAACAAGCAACTACTTTGGGGCCTATGGGTAGCCTGTAAACCCGGAATCTCACGACCCTGAGCCTGAATCTAAGCCTGTGCGAGGTCAAACTGTCAAGGCCCTAGTAAGACTTCGAGCCTTCCAGCTGATAATTGTTCCTTGGCTGGCCCCTTAATGCTGCTGAAACATATTCCGACACGCTGAGCTGAAACTCACTAACGAAGTACAGATATGCTACGTACTAGTTTGGGGTTCAGGATTCCATGATTTGGGGTTGGGGATGGGTGGCTGTCGGATTTAAGATCCAAGGACCCTAAACGGAGTCGTATTTAACGATATTAACTCAAAACTCACCGAAAAGCGATACACGTACGCTGCTATGCATGGCTTTTGGACCCGAAAGTTTTAAGCCATGTATCTTCAGATCTCATGTTGTTCTGGACAGCTCTTTTCCCATCTAGGGGGCTACTATAGCTCGGTCTAGGGTTCAACAGACATCCTGCAAAACAGGCTGCAGGTTAAGGTAAGGCTTGTAGGGGCTTTTAGGGGATGATTCAGGTTAGAGTTTCGTCTACGCGCCAACCATCGAGGAGTGTTCAGGGCTGAGGGAGCGCAGGACGGTAAAGGGTGTGGAACTGCAAAGGGCACAGCAAAGTCCTTGTGGCACCGGCGTGTTGCAGCAAGCGCGCAGCTTCGATGTGACCTCCAGGACAAGCGACCACCGCAGTCAAGCCGTTGTTGTCGGCAAATCCTTGTCGACCGCGGCTTCTAACTCTAGCAAGCGCGCAACTTCAACATGGCCTCCTTGACAAGCGACCATCAGGGCAGTAAAGCCACTATTGTTGGCAATGTGCTTGTCGGCTCCGGCTTTCAGCAACAAGCGGATAACTTCAACATGGCCTTCTTCACAAGCGAGCATCAGGGCAGTGAAGCATTCGTTGTCGGCAATGTCCGGGTTGGCTCCGGCTTCTAGCAGCAAGCGCGCAACTTCAACGTGGCCTGCTTCACAAGCGACCATCAAGACAGTAATGCCCCGGTTATCGACAATGTCCTTGTTCGCACCGGCTTGTAGCAACAAACGTGCAACTTCAATGTGGCCTGCTTCACAGGCGAACATCAGTGCAGTGACGCCGTTGTTGTCGGCAATGTCCTTGCTCGCACCAGCTTCTAGCAGCAGACTCACCACTTCAAAGTGGCCTTCCAAAGATGCTGTCATCAACGGACTGTTGCCGTCTGCATTGGTTGAGTCGGGGTCCAGCGGCTTCTGCAGCACAGCCTCCACCTGGCGGCATTCAAGCTGGAAGTTCGAACATGTCTACCCAAACTTCGTAGAGAGAAGGGCTACTTCCGGGTTCGAAGGTGCATTATGATATAGGAACACGAGCCTCGTTCTCGATCCCGTTCCTGGCGGCAGTCACCAGCTCATCTGCTGAGGCGACAGATGCAGGATGATACGAGACTAGGAGCAGCTCCAGGTCCCGAAGCGAGTCCAGCTGGGCAACATCTTCTAAGAGACGGCCTTCATGAAACAGTCTTTGCCTGAACCGCGTAGGCAAGCCATGCAGCCGATGAAGCCACTGCTTTACTGACTTCACATCGCTCAACTCCTCCGAAGGTATGCTCGCCACCAACTCCCCCGAGAGCATCCTGACGTGCAGCATCGCCGTCGACATCTGGCACAGCCGATGGCTATCGGGCAGAGACCTAAATCACCAAATCTTAAAAGCCAAGGGGCCGGGGGGCCCTAAACCCCACATCCCGAAAACCCAAATGCCCTCAAGGACCTTGAATTCTCCACACCTTGCTGAAACATGATGCACAGGTCAAACTTACATGCACGGAGGATGATACTGGCCTGTCAAAGCTTCGGAACCCGAGAGGATCCTATATGGGTCGTTGTCAAAATTAGGGTCCCTTTTTGGGTACCTTAAACAATAGGTGCCGTATTATAATAGGGACCCAAAAAGGGGCCACAATTTTGACAACCACCCATATGCCTCTATGGGGTGATACTTACACAAAACTATGACAGCAAGTCCGAGGACGGAACCGCTTTGCAGAATGTATACACTTAAGACCAAGACTGCATGGTCTAGGGGCCTTTATCATTAGATTAGAATAGGGTTTTGGGGGGGGCCGTTATACTATATCTATAATAACGCACCCCCCCAAAATAGCATAGGTAATGGTTAAGGCCCTTATATTCTACACTTAAGACCAAGAATGCATGCGCTCCTTGAGCCCAGCTTCTGGCAGGCAAAAAAAAGCAAGGTTGCAACTAGGATTGGGATACCGCCATGAGAGTTTGGGGGTTTAGGATTTAGGAATACTAATACGAACCCTAAACCCTTAACCCAAGTAACCCCTATACCTACTACCCTGGCCATGCAAGTAGGCCCGAAGCAACCCAATCCCTCCTCATCCCTGAACCCCCAAACTTCTTATGGGGTTGGGAGAGTTTGAGTTCAGACCTCGATGAATGAATCAAAGGGGAAAAGGAGGGACCCTGAATAAGGACCCCTACCATATAATGGGCTGTATAATGGGTATATAACAGCTATGTTAAGGGTATATACCTAGGGGTCCTTATTAAGGGTCCCTCCTTTTACCCTTGGGATGAAGATGGCACCGACCTCTGATGACCGATTCCCCTGTCCATTTAGCGGTCAAGGATACAAAAGTGCACTTACTGGGTCCTCGGTAACTCTAAACCCTACATGGGTTTAGGGCTTAGGAGTTTAGGGTTTCGGGTTTCAGGGTTTAGGGGTGAGGGCTTGGGGAGCCCAAGACAGAAGCTAAACACCAAAATCACAATGCTTATGTCTTTCTTGGGCCCAGCTACAGTGCTCTAGGGGCTCCAGGGTATCTAGGTACCTATGCAGCATTTTGGATTACTGTAAGTACCTGGTCGAGGGTAGAGGATGAGCGGCAGCGGCTTTACCGAGTAACAACATATCAGCGCACCCAAACTCTAAAACTCAATAAACCCTACACCCATCTAAGGTGTAGACTATCATTTGTTTAATCTTGCTTGCGCAGGGTCCATAAACCCTGAAGCCAAGAAAGCAGCCAAAACCCTAGGCAGAGGGTGACCATGGAGCCCGCAAGCCTCAACACGGCGCCTCAACCCAAAGACAATCCCAAACAAAAGAACGGAAAATCACAATTAACTTAACATATACATGAACCCTCCGAAACCCTCGCAACACAAAACAAACGCAACCCTAAACCCAAAAACCTTAAACCTCTACATCCTAGCCCCGACAGGCTATGTAACAAATGACCCTTCCAACCTGAAAGCCTGGCATCCTGAACCCTACAAGCCATGTGGGATTTGTCCGAAAATAGGGGACCCTAATATAGTACCCTAAATAGTAGGATCCTTATTATAGGGACCCCAGAATAAGGTACCCCGAATTTTCGGAAACTCCCATGTAAAACAGAGTAAGCTAAAACCCGCCTGCCAAACCGCACAAACTATGCAGAAACATAAAGAGAACCCTACAACCGTGCATCCTAAACCCTATAAACGGTTTAAACAAACCAACTGGAGCTGAAGGCAAAAGTTGGAACATCATTACTTTAGGTAAAGCATAGGGAATCCTAGCACTACTCCCCCTGAACCCGTGTTCCAGCTTTCTGCGTAGAGGGAGCTCACGAGGCTCCGGCTTGAGAACGGATCTCGCCGCCCGAGCTTGAAAGAAAATCTGAAGGCCTGGGCTCAGGGTTTAGGATTAAGGGCTTAGGGTCTTAGGGTTAAGGGTTCAGGGTTTAGGGTGTAGGGTTGTAAGGGCTCAGGGCTAATGGTTTAGGGTCGAGGGTTCAGGGTGTAGGGTTAAGGGTTGAGGGGTTTAGGGTTTTTAGGGGTTTCGTGCTTTTGGGCTTAGAAAGTACATCTCAAGGCCTGGGCACTCCGGGAGAGGGCTTCTGGTGCTCTTTGATGGCTCTATATGGGAGTTTCCGAAAATGGAGACCCTAATATAGCAGCCTAAATAGTAGGATCCTTATTATAAGGACCCCCAAATTAAGGTACCCCTAATGTTCGGAAACCCCCATATTGGGCCTCAACCCTGATCCCCACCAGACCGAAAAGGTCGCTGAATGGATCCACATCAAGCAGTCCGAGGTCTGTGCCAGATGCTACAAGCCATGCCACTGCAACGACCACCTCAGCGGCTCCAGCTGAGGCTGTAAGATTTGGGGGTTTCCGGGGTTCAAGGCCTGTCTAAGCTAAGATTAGATAAATGCCTGAAGTAGCCTGAAGTAGAAATTACTAGCTAATACTATACGCTAGGGTTCCCTGTCATGAAACTAATCAAGCCCGTATACATCGCCGCAGAGTGCTTTTGTTGGACCTTAGACAAGTAGGATGCGGTTCTGAGTTTCAGGTCCTGGGTACAGGCTGTCAGGTTTCAGGAATTGTCAATGCTTGGGCGCATGTTATCGCTTTCGGGTTAAGGGTGCCCCGTTCTGCTTTATGGCAGCCTGCATCTACATAGGAGTGAGGACCTGGAGGACCCTGAAGACCCAATCAACTTGTGCAAACTCGCCGACTGCAGCCCGTAAGACTACAAAGCACGGAACAGATGCAAAAGGAGCCCAGTACCTCTGTCAGAGTTGAAAACTCCGACTTTGCGGCCTTGGATGTAAACATAAGACTCAGCTCAGAATACCATGTAAAGCAAACTGCTATCAGAATTAAGTATTCCTCTCAAGTCTTTGCCAGTCTGATTATGGTTATGATTACCAGATTATAAGGTTCTTATTATTTCAAACCCCAATCTTAGCGCCGAGAGACCATGGAGAGGGCAACAAGGAGCATCAGGAGGCGCTGCTGGCGCCAATCTCGGTGCGGAGGGTTTGGGGGTTTGGGGGGTAAATCCAAAGACAATACCATTGACAATACCTTCACCCAAAACACGTGCATGCGCAGCGCGACTTGTTGCGATTTCCCTCCATAGTCCTTAACGAGCTAGGTTTCGGGGTGTTTCCCTAAACCCTAAACCCTAAACCCTAAACCCTAACCCCTAAACCCTAAACCCTAAGCCTCTAAAGCTAAAAGCAGAGTCATTCCGCTTCGGAGTGCTCACGGTGTAGAGCCTGAAGATTCAAGGTTTGCTGGCTTTGGAATTTCGGGATGGGGGCTTGTCATGCACGGATCGGATACTTTCAGGTTCATGGGTACTCCTCAGTAGGATTTATACGTCCCATAATATGGGTGATAACTCTAGTTACCCTACTGATAACCCCACTTTAGCTACCCATGAACCTGCAGTTTGGCTTCAGGGTTTCCGAGTTAGGGTCACACACACACACATGGATAGAGTTTCTGGATTCACGATCCAGAATCGGAGGCTCATGTCCTAACTCAGGCTGTGGATGTCAGACTGAAGAAAGCGCGCAATACTCGAGCACTGACTGTGCGCAGGCTGCTGCTCACATGCATCACCGACGGAGGTCGTGTAGCTGGAGCTGACATCAACTGAAAACCAGTCAGCACTTCTAACACGCCCAGTTGTTGAGTTCCCTCCCTTCTATAACCCATTTAGTGCGGCACGATTGCGTATAACCCAGCAAGGGATCGGTATAGCTACCCCGCTACCAATTGCATAGAAACCTGGGTGATGCCAGAATTGAAGCATTAAGCCGAAACCTGCAAGGCCTAGCACTTTGTGAGTTACGATGTCTCAGTTAATTGAGGGCTGTCAGGCTTTAGGCTTTTCAGGGTTCAGCGTTCTGACATCCTATACCCCCGTGGCGACGCACAGTTTCCAGTGACTTCCTGAGAGGAACACTCAAGGCAGGGAAGAGCTTCGAATGTGCCGACCTCAGTATCCGACTTGGGCATACAATGGGGGACTACAGGATTTAGGGTCTCTGCTTCGTAAGGCCAACCTTTTCAGGAAATATACGAGAAATTCTTACAACGCGACTAGGTTTGTGAGGGGGGGATAATTGTGAATACGAATCATTTACGCTCCTGGGCTTCCCTGCGCCCACAACAACCTTTGGCTTTAGGGTTCCTTCTGGTGATATCCGTATCATAGGTTTCTCTTGATGCAGGAAAAACGTATGCTTTGGTAGGTCGAAGTATCCTAAACCCAAAACCTCATACCCTAAACTCTAACTCCTGAACCGTAAGGCCTACATGCGCCCGAGGCCTTCAATCCTCAACCCTGTGACCCCAGACCCGTGCTCAAGGAGCCAGGTCGACGTCGAGTTCCCTGGTTCACCAGCCCTCCAGGCTGCTCTCGAGACTTTAGTAAGCAGAAGGATATGGAGCTTATAAGGGAGAATGTTGCATCTTATTCAGGCTCCCTGTTTTCTGCCATGGCAACCTCAGGGTTTGCAGCTTTCGTGGAGACTTACGGGGTCATACCGCCACCTCGACACATTGAACAGGTTCTCGGGATAAGTCATACCTGGGCTGGTTAGGAACTACTCGCGGTCCAACGGCGGAAAACGTAGTGTGTTGTGGCCAGCTTCCCCTAAGAAGGCTGAAGGGTCCTCCTTGCGGAAGCCACCAAGTCTTCCAGAGATCTTTATGCAGTCCACCGAACAAGCCTCTCTTGTGAGAACTTCAAGCTTCACGTAAGACCTGTTCCTCGAGTCCAGCCTCTTTTGGGTCGTCTGACGAATTTAGCCCGCAATGCAGTGCGAGACGGGCATGGCAGACCAAAAAGCTGATTGGAACGCGGCCCCTCTACGGGAAACTCTAGGTGTGAGAATTGCGCTTATGAGCTGGATGCAAGGCTGCAGACTGAACGTCGGGTTGTGAGCAGAGCCAGCGAGCCTTAATGCGACCCCACATGCATTGCTGGATATGCTTCACGCAGCTTCCTAGAAGAGATGTTGCCGCAGATTCCTGTGTGCTCCTCCGAAGTATCATGTAGGTGATGACACCAAACCCGGTCAAAACCAACGGAGCCTTGAGCGCAAACCCTCCGAGACCGAAAGGATCAGCTGAAGCGGCCGATCGATCTTCAACATTGAAAGTCCTGCTCGGCCTTTAAAGGCAAACGTTCAATTTTCGCGGTAAGAACCCAAAACAGATAGCAGCTACACCTTGCAGTCATCGTGATGTTGACGATACTACTGGCATTGGTTCAAAGGGTTTAGGGTTCCTCTTGGTTTAGGGCATAGGATTCTTGACGACAACCGCAAGGACGGGTGCTACATGGAACCCATGCCCAAACCCTAAATATTAAACGTATTGACATGGGTCTCCTACGATGCAAGTTCCGAGACTTGGCTCCGTACGGCGGGCTCGTGGCGCCTGCGCGCACGAGCTTTCGTGAGGGTTAACGGCACTGCTGGGCTTGGGGGGGGGACTTTGCCAAGGTATGTAGAGTTCTCCTTTCATCATAACTTTTTGGAACAAAAAGAATCGTAGAAGAGCGGTAGATATAGAGCAGCCAGAATGACTAGCATGCGATCTCAGGCTTCATTCATGCGATGGAATCCCTGAATATACCGATGCCCTAGACCCGGCCCACAACCTCAGCATCCAAAGACTCAAACTCGAAAACGGAACAGCGAAGCAATCCATGCTGCTGCTTCTGCTACAGCTACAGCTACAGCTACAGCTACTAATTATTATTACTACTACTACTACTACTACTACTATGCAATAACCTTGCTTCTACGGAGTCCACGACTCATACCACCGCCAGCACGGTTGTGGGCTTCTATTTCCAGATTCCGTCGTCCGCTCACAGCTGCCCAAGTCCCCGCATCCTTTCTCCAAAAGCTGCCTGACAATGTTGGTCAACGATGTGGCCCTAAGGGTCCATGTACCCATATAGAGATACATGAGCCCCAAAGTACCTGTTTAGGGACTACATTAAGGCCAATGTATATACTATATGAGTACATGGACTCTTAGGGTGGAACTGTGGAACCTGGAGGACTTCACAGATCAAGTGAACCCACTGTGGATTGCGCAGATGCCTCCAGTAACTGCTGCACGGCAAATCGGACAGCCATCCAGTGTCTGCATCGTCCTCCCACAACTCTGGCAAACAGCAAGTATGTCCACACGGAATCAGCGTCCACGAGGCGGTTGCCGCACAACAAATGATGCACGTAGTCTTCAGTTCCGCCAGCCTGCTTTCCAACGATTGGTTTTCTTCCGGAGCTCACGTACCATTTTCTGCCTCTCCTCCAGCTCTTCCAGGATATCGACACAATCGAAAAATTCACCGGAATCCGTAATGGTATTAGCCGATCGAGTGGCCGCCAAAACCTCAGCTTTGCGATGCAATGCAGAGCGGCATTCTGCTTTGTGCACCGGCCAGTGCTGAATTTGACAAGCCCGGGAGCATCGCGACTTTGCACCTGCGGCAAAGATGTTTAGCCTTGCGACCGCATGTGAAGCAGCTCCCGGCCGGGCCGCTGCTGCTCATGGACTTGTGTTCCACATCTGCTTGGGCCCACCAACGGCTCTGGTCGGCCTACGCAACATAACAACGCGCAGACGGCTCTGGTTCTTGCATAGAGGCTTCGGGCCATCTCATGGTCTTTCCTGGTCTTATCTGCCATCACCGGTGGATGAAGCTGACCCCTACAACTAGGCAGATCGCTCTACACCTGGTCGACTATTGGGTGCGTCGAAGCTACCAGTACTTTCAAGCTAATGGTGCTTTCAAGGCCAAGGGTTTGCAGGCAAGAAAATAGACTGTCCAGCACTTTGCAACTTGGAGACAGACACCCATGGAGCAACCTTACTTGCTGAGCAGGGGTTCTTCCAAATTTCTAACACGCGCCACGGGAACCTGCCGTCTCAACGCCCGCTGGCAAATGCTTCCTGAGTGACGGGCATCCGGCCACATGACTCTTGAAGGTACTGGTCCTCTACTTGTCCAGTACACCAGAAAAACTAAAGGTAAACGACATTTGGGATAAAATGTGGATTATAGGAACCTGCCAAATTTACTACGAATAAGATACATTATAACACGATGCAACCCACATGGTAATTGAAGCCAAAACCCGTTCACGGTACACGTCCTTCAGAGACCAAGATTTGTGGCCACCCTCCCGGCATGAAGGGCTTAGGGTCTGGAGTCTAGACGTGCCTGATTTAAGTTCTGGGTTAGGTTTCATGTGCAGGCCCTAATAGTTTTAATCGGAGCCTGGGGGCACATTACCCTCACTTCATACAACTGAACCCGAAGGACTAGTGTCTTGTTTTTCATTCAAGAAGTAGAGAGCAGTCTCGTAGGTTCTCCAGTCCGAGCTGGTTGTGCAGATGGACATCTTCTCAAAGGGTCCCCAGTACCCACAAAATACAAGGTAGGGCTTCTATACTAGTAGGAACTATCATTGATTAAGGTTTCGATGTAATTACCTATCTACCATTTACGTACTTATGACTCGTTCGGCCATTGGGCTCGTGCATGCAGGTCAGTGCTGAGCCGGGAACTGAGCAGTGAGCGTTGCATTGTGCTCCTGCGCCTCGCAAGTAGCGCGGTAAACGCCGAACCCTGTGCAGGGTTTACGGGCTGAGGACTTAGGGCTCATAAGATATAGGGATTAGAGCCCTAGCCCCACCTAAACGTGAATCCCTGAACTGCTGAAATCCAAAGACCTACTGCCCACATTCTAAACCGGCACTGGTGACACAACACTGCGTCTCTCTGTTAAGTATCCCCGCATACCCTCTATAGAAAATCCCAAACTCCACCCTACTCACCCTGCTGACTTGGCCGAAACGAGCTATTACACCGTTGTAACTCTCTTACAAAACTGCTAAGCCCCAATACCCCAGCGATCGAATCTTCACAGCCCGGGTCATGAAGTTTTGATTTGTTGCGGTCCCCCATGGTTTTGTTCTTCGCATGTAAGTTTCGGTTTCTAGTCTGTGACCGCCAAAACGCAATAAGCACAGCAAAACTGGCCATTACAATTACGAACAATGGCACGGTCACAGCAAAGACAACCATGCTAGCGGTAGTTACCTTCCTCAAATCCCAAGCCTGCGAACTCAGGCCTGCATTAGCCCTGTGGAACGATTCTGAGGCGACCTCTTTCTTCCCAAGTGGCCATATGGGAGTTTCCGAAAAAGGACCGGTTCCGTATTTTGGGGTCCTAGTCCTTATAATAAGGATCCTACTATTTAAGGAAATAAATTAGGATTTAGGTCCCGCATTTTTTCGGAAATCCCCATATACAGTATACAGTAGGAGAAGGTATGCGGAGGCATCGGCAACTCTGGCGACTCGAAACCTTAGGCCCTAAACTATAACCCGAAACCCCAAACTCTAGACCCTATCTGTAGCCGAAAAGACCTGCCTTTTTAGGGTTCCATGTTACGGTATCTCTATATATAGTTCCTGAAAAAAGTAGGTCTTTTGTGCCACAGGTAGACCCTAAACCCCAAACCCAACTCTGGACTGGCATCCAAGCGCACAGGTCCGACCATCGACCCAATCCGCAAGCCTTTAAAGCCTTTAAACCCTAAAGCCCTAAACCCTGCCTGAACCCCAAATGGGCTTATAAGTCTCCTAACATGGGTTATCAAGCATAGTTACCCTACTTATACCCCTACTTAAAACTACCCCTAAACCCTAATCCCTAAACCCTCTAGAACCCTTAAAAGTAACCCTAAACCCCTCATAGCCCTACTTATAACTACTCATGAACCTCCAAGTATCACTGACCACGCGAGCCTGCCAGGCCTTGAAATTTCGGCGCTTAGGAAGCTTTAGCGTTCAGTATGTAATACAGGGGGCTTAAGAATTAGACTGGGGTTTCGGGGCCCATTATACTATACTTATGATGAGGAACACCCACAGCAGTATTGGTAATTATTTAGGCCCCTCGATTAAGGGCTTAGGATGTGGATTCCTCGGGTGTTTTGGGCAATCCAAGCCACTCGACAACCCACCTCAGCTGAGTGCACGACGGCTTCGTCTGTCTCACTTCCAGTGATTCGGGCAGCCGAGGCCTCAGTTAGGGGTTTGCTTAAACTCCGTTAAGGATCCGTGTACCCAAAATAGCGTTCCGATAAGGGCTCCTATAAGGGTTCTATAAGAGTTCTATGAAAGCGTTCTAGGATTATAGGGTTTAAGGTTAAGGGTCCATGTACCCACATCAAACAGCAGATACTTTGGTCTCAAAGCACCTCTATAGGGACTACTTTAACGCCACAGTATAATATACTCTTTGGGTACATGGACCTTGAGGGCTTAGGGCTTATTCTAGGGCTTAGGGGTTAGGAATCAGGATTGTGGGGGAAGGGTTTCACGTATTGGGCTGTAGTGTGTAAGGTCTAAAGTTTAAAGGTGCTGAGGTTCAGGAGTGAAGAAGGAGACTCAACAAGGACATGAGCAACATAATTTTGCAAAAAAACATCTACCTTTATAGGCTTCTTGATTATGCGATATGTTATGGGATATACCTAGCCTTGTTTTCGCTTGCGTGCGTTTCACGGGCCCTAGACTAGAAGCTCAAAAGTTGCAAACCCAATAACCTCAATCCTTAAGAGTAACGTATAGGGCATCCCAGCACTATTTGGCCTTCATTCGGTTTCCAACTTTATGGGGTTGACTGTAGGGTTTAGCGACTTCGGGCTTTAGGGCCTAGGGTCTACCCGTGACCCAAGACACCTTCCTTTTTCAAGGAACTTTAAATAGAAACCAGAATAAAGAGCCCGAAAAAAGGTAGGTCTTTCCGGCTACAAGTAGGGTTTCGAGCGTTACGGCTCTAGGACGTAGGTCTTACGGGTTTACCATAGAGTGATTCAAGATGTGCAGGGTGAAGAGTCTTCGAAATCTTTCAGGGACCCGGACCAGAACTGCAACACCTAATTACCAGGCTTAGGTTTGGGGGGGTTTGGGGGCTTGATTATAGGGTTTAGGGGCTTAGGGTCTAGGGCCCAATTTCATTTTTATGTGAGAATCACCACAGGTTCCTTTCTGGCGGAGCAACTCAGTTGATCCCTTCAACAAACCTCAAAACGCGCAAACCACCTACACCTTCAACCTGAACCCGTAAAGTCCCAACAAGTGAAACCTGAAACCACAAACCAAACTGTGATCCTTCGCCTAAAGCCCCAGACCCCGAAACCACCAAACCGCAACGATCCCTGTTGAAACTACAAACAACAAATGCCACAGCCCCCAAACCCACAACCCCGTTGCTGCTGAGTTCTTTTGCCTTCCTACATCAGAATAGGGTTTCGGGTTAGAGCATAAACGGAATACACGGACATGCTGTTGCTAATTCAGACCACCAGATTTCCTCGCGAACCGAAGCCACCCCTCTGGGCAAACGACTTGCTGCGAATGCAGCAGATGAATGATGAAGACCTGGCTCTGAACGCTTGAGGGTTTAGGGCTTAGGGTTTGGGTTTAGAGTTTAGGAGTTGCTAAGCCAAAGGCTAAAGGAATCATCTGAACAGGAGTCTGAGATTGCACAGGGCCTGCTTGAAATAAAAATCCTATGAGTCTTCCGAGCCGTGCACCACTGCTTAACCGAATTTCTGAGCCACTCGAAAGCACGACACTGGGTATCCTATCAGGCACACATACGTAAGGTAGATATTGAAAATCAGTCGCGAGACCCAATGCTCACAACGATGGTTCCCAAATCCCTTGCACATCTCGAAATCCTTTGAGCTTGCACTGCTAGGCATTGTTTCACTACCCTCAATGCCCCTCAAGCCACTCGACTTGTTGGAGATCTTTCGAAATGCCCTTCCGAGATTTATACTTTATACAGTTCCGATTCCCACTTCTAAACTCTAAGCAGGATCAGGTTGAGGGAAGCTTGCAGACACGCACGCGAAACAACATGCACACGCTCGTGAAACCCGGGATCCGGATGCGACAGCATCCCCAGCCCTGAACCATAAACTAAACCATAAACCCTAAACCCTAAGCCCTAAACCGCAGACACCAACACGCTGAGTGCCGTGCTACAAGGAATGAAGAGGCCCACCTGGACAGCCCAACCTCAGCGTACCGGATGCATCCGAGCCGTGTCGTCTGCAACCCCGAATGTGCAACCCAGTACCACTTCAACATCTTCAACTTTCGTGGCGGATAGACAGAGAACGTATTGCTTACCATTCGTGATCGACAATCCGCGATACTACTATAACACTGCCAGTCCACTGCCACTATACTACTGTCCTATTTCGGTTGAGGTTCCAGGGCGAAAGGTTTAGAATATAGGTTCTGTCCTAATCCCTTATCCCTACATCGCAGGTTGGTCAGGGTTTAGGGCTGAAACCCATATACTCACAAGCACTTTGCGCGGTAAACAATAACCTCTTCTCCGTTATAACTCCAAAAGGCGCTGAGCCGACGGAAACCAAAAACTCCCATTCCACCATCCGCATGTTCACTTCGGAAAATCTTAACCGTTGGCGTGCCGTCGTCAATGCCGGCGCGCCGGCGTCGTGGTCGCAATATGGTTGCAATAGAAGGCCGAAAGTTGAAAATCGGCGACTGCACCCTAAATCCTAAATCCTTAAGCCGGTAACGGCATCATCTTCCAGCTGTCGATTTAAACACGCTCCCCCGCATCCGGTGCCGCGATGCACTTTGCCACCTGACGGTAGCAGCAGCAGCAGCAGCAGCAGCAGCAGCAGCAGCAGCAGCAGCAGCAGGAGTAGCAGTAGTAGCAGTAGTAGTAGTAGTAGTAGTAGTAGTAGTAGTAGTAGTAGTAGTAGTAGTAGTAGCCCAACCCTTCCCAAGGGCCCGTTATTTAGGTAACTGGGGGTTGGTTCCAAAAATGTTGGGAACCGATACTTTGGTTCCTACTCGATCTTGCTGTTTTGAGGAGTTTGGGAACACGAATCCAAGAAAGATGATGTACTTCTTGGTGTGATTGTCACTTTTCAAAGGATTATGTTGAAAAGTATGCACAGCACAGGGAAACCCAGTGCATCGCAAAGGGTCGCTCCATTTTTCTCGATGCCGGAAACGTCTAATCCATAGCCTCTAGATTCACAGCCGGTGCAGTTGCACGCTGCACGTTCACAAAACTGCCCATCCTCCATTGACAGCCTGGGGTATGCTGCTGTGCCCCTGGATTCTCCCTGCAAAGGCTGCAGCAAAACGTGTGATTTGTACCCGGGAGCAACATACGACTGCAATTCGGACAGGTGGGTGTCATGCCATCACGTCGTGTGTGTGCAGCTTGTCGGCGGTAGCAATGGTTGCTGTGTTCCCCACCGGCACCATCTCTGCAGATGCGACAGCAAAACTTATGTTTGCCAACCACTTCCACAAAGCACTTCCGGCAGCGACGAGGCTGCTTCAGTTGCTCCAGGTCTAGCCCAGCTGATGCCATAACTAGGATTGGACAAAAGAACTGAATCACCGTTTAGGTGCTATGGATGCTGAAACTGCTGCGAAGGTTTTTCATCATCACATGCAGGATAGGACTTTAAAATGGGAGCATATTCGTAACTGGCAGTATAGGGCTGGTGCAAGGTTTTCGGCTATAGCGAGTGGCCATGGATGCTTGGATTGGCTTCGAAGGAATTGATCAGGCTAGGCTCTTTAAGGGATTATGGGGTTTAGTCCGTTCAACACTCCGACTATTTGCACAGGATGAATTTACAGCAGGGATTATCCATGTCTGATTTGTTGTCTTTTGGGGCTTATAGGGGTTCGGGGGACTTGACGGAATTGGTTTTTCTTTGCAAGCTTAGCACGGTGGCTTGTAATCAACATACAGGGGCCCACGGTTTTGCTACTAAGTTCCTTGAAGCCAATATGGGTCTTAGGCTTCAGTTCTTTCGGGGTACAGGCTTTTAGGGAAGTAGGGGAGATACAGGACTCAGAGGGATATTCAAGGCTTTCGATTTCATGGGCCTTCAGCACTTCAAGAAAGGTGTTTGGCATCTCCGTTTCGACATTGCATATTAGCGAGGTGTATGAACTCTAGAATTTCTTTTGGTGAGATGGGGGCGGCAAGCTTCAATAGTTTTATTGCGAGGGCCGGGAAATTAGTCAACCCTGATCAATCCGAAGCCCCTCAAGGCGTTAAGCTTGCAGCTTCGGCTTGCCTACGTTTGCAACAGCCTCTGCCCTAAAACCCTTATAAGCGCTAATTAGCTTCCTATAAAAGCCAATATAACTTCATTTCTCTAGTAGGAGACCCGTACACGTGAAACCCAAACGAAGCCTCACCTTTGAATGAAGTTAAGCAGCTAAGCACCTGAATCCCCCGAGGCCCATGGCCAGTACTAGTTCACTACACCGCGCTAAATCCAGCACACTAAACTTGAGCATCTGGTTTCCGGCCGTCGATCTCATGCACCAGCTGCTCAGCTGCGACGGAGGCCAGCCTTCTTGGCCCATGCTAACCTGGCCAGGTCGTTGTTTAAGGTGCTAGCTGGTTAAATAACTAGGCACCTTAAGGAGTTCAGCCCCTGGATGACTGAAGCTAGGCCTGGATCACGAGTTTAAGGACTTATGCACATGTACACTATTATATATATATATATACCCACAGACACAAACACAAGGATACACACGTGTACATGTCTGTCTGTCTACGTACATCGCAAAGTCTTTGAAAATCTGCATTTGGTCGTGCTGCCTCAGCAGCGAAGCACGAAGCATCTTTCGCTCAAACGCTTTCCCAGCATTTCTGCGTGCTGCTGCCTTCAGAACACCCATATGGTCTTCTTCAGAGAAGCAATGATAGGCTCTGCAGTTCCAGCAGCTTGCCTTCATATCGTCGTTCATCTCCATCATCACCTGCGGATTTTGATATGTATGGACCCAGACCATCATAAAATTCATATGTACATGAGCGGTCGTATTTGGAGTCTACATTACCAGAAAAAACAATACATATACTCCAGCCCAGAAACGTGCATCTTGGGCAGCAGATGCCAGTGCAAAGACTTGTTGCGAAGAGCATCCAAGGATGCTGCTTTGGCCAGTCCCAGATACCGGTATCCCTCCTTGCAAATCGCGTCCGCTTGTGTCTGCTCCAAAATCAAAGGGAATCGCTCGACCAGGTTTTGCCACTCGGCCAAACTGCACCTGGACATTGCATGCAGTTGCCAGCATACACATACATGTATGTCATGTATGTACATGTTTCGAGTCATGATATATACATATATATATATATATATATATATATATATCGAATGCAGAGGTAGAAGATAAACAAACAAACGATATTGCGGCGGGGAACACAGTTGCCACCGTCAGGTCCGCTGTTTGTTTGTACCGATGAAAATCCACCTCGGTCTCCCCTGGAAGTTGTTGGATGGAGGAGGAATCCACCACACGACTCAATGCATCCTTTGTTGCTGTGTTCCGACTGAAACCATGCCAGCTTTGCAGCGGCAGGAGTACACACAAGCATATCTACAATGTACATGTTAACATGGCCCAGATTCGGCAGCCCAGCCAAGCACACATCTGCTGTTGAAGGCTTTGCAGTTGAGCCATGGATACTCTGTCGGTTGTGCCAGGTCATCGCCACAATGGAACGACCGAACGCTCCAGGGTCGTTGGGAGCATCCAATCTTGTTGTCTTTGCACCAGCGCCTAAAATCATGATAATGAAGTCTCAAAGCTTCCGGCCAAGACGTTGCTTTGCCCAGCCTCAATGTCAAACCAGCCAGGAAAAGGATGGCCTCGCCATTGGCGACGAGGAACAATCCCAGCTGACAGGTGTGCATAGCACACCACCGCCTCATGAGAGTTTCATGATCATTTCGGGCCAATAAAAGGAAAACCCGTAGGCCGTAAAAAAAAATACTGGATCACTGCAATTTGGAGGTGCAGGCATTTCACATGGAATCCAATCAGGCATATGAGGGGACATGGTTGCGCAGGAAGGCCGTGGACGATGAAATCGAGTGTGCTCACATTCTCAAACTCGCTGTCGAAATTTGTATATGGCACGCCGAACCTGCCAAAAGAATCGATGCCAACAAATGCATGTATACGAAACCTAGCGTTTTCTAAGGTGCCAGTATATGTCATATACATATATATAGAGAACACATGCACACAGCCTCGCCTTGAATCCTGGGATGCATTGCAACGGTGGCACACATACCGACATTTCCAGTTGTACCATTGCTTCATCCTGAAAAGCAATCGATGCCAAGCCCAGTCCCCTTTGATGCACGTAACTGCGAAGGTGGGTCTCTCAGGGTTGGTCGAGTTGAATGCCACATTCAGCGACCAGGTTGCTCGCACAAGGATAGGCCTCAATGTGCGCGTGCCGAAGGCTGTAGCAGAGCTCACGATGAAGAAGAGGAAGTGTCTCAGAAAAGCGTTCACTCCTGAAAGAATTCTCGTATGTACACATGTCGTATATATATATATATACATATGTACACGTGTGCATGTTGCAATATACATACATGTGTTTATAGCCATCGGGCAGAGCTTTCAAATTGTTTACACTATATAGGGGCTCAGGGATTAAAGGGATTAGCGGTTTAGAGGACAATTTTGTGCCCAAGCTAGACTACATCATTCCAAACAGGAGTGGGTCCATGTAGGTAGCCCCTTCGTGTGTCGTCGCCAATGTGGGTCTATCTCTAGTCCAGGTTCTATCAATGCTACTTAGAAGGGCAGGGGAATTAGTAAGTAGGTTCTATAATAGCAGGGTTATTATAATTGGGGCAACTCCATTTAAGGTATTTATAACTCTACGACTTATAACCTACTTACTAAGTCCCCTGCCCTTTCAAGTAGCGGGGTTTATTTAGGGTTTATGTTCTACAGCAATTGTCGCAGGGAAGGTGAATAGGTACAGGGCTTAGGGTCTTTTAGGATGTAGTGAATTCAGAGCAGTCGCCACTTGGGCGATGAAGCGGTGACCCCAGCGATAGGGCTATGAACTTGTCGTGGTTCTTGCTGTACTCGGCCTCGTCGCCATAGACCTAAGATAGTTGGGCATGACTATGGATGGGTGGGCTAGAAGCAAGGGCAGGGGTTTTGAAGATACAAGATCACTTAGA